TATAGGCTCAGCCGCATTGCTGGATCTGGTGTCTAACGTATGGAATGCCGCAGCTGTAGATACATCCGTCTTTGGTGGCTCTTGAAGCGCTCACTTGAGCCACAGTTCACACCTTGTAAATCTCTACAAAAACGTTGGCATGAACGGGGCCTCGCTTCACAATCCTCTCAAGCCTGCTGTTTTTAATTCATTCCACAAAACCTTTCAGGAAGTCATCTTCTTTACCAATAACCTTTTGTCACTTACCCCACTTGTGGAGGGGTATGAGTGACGATGATTGGATTGGTGAAAGAGGGACAATTTTTATTTTTTAATCGCCATACTCTAATTGATAGAATAAAAACTTTAATTACCAGGCGTAATTAATCTGTATGTGTTTTACCCTTTTCATTAAATGTACTTTGCTTAGATTTTCAAGTTGGAGTAATTATCACCATTAGTGTTGGCAGCTTAACCTCACATATTACCTCCTGTTTGTGTTTGACAGTGTTGTGGCGGCATCAATGGAGGGGAGATGGCCATTTTTGCCTCCAGAGCAGGGCCGGGTCCCTGTTGGCACCCGGCATGCTTTGCATGCTCCATGTGCCAGGAGCTTCTGGTGGACCTCATCTATTTCTACCAAAATGGCAAGATCTTCTGCGGGAGACACCACGCAGAGCTCATGAAACCTCGATGCTCTTCTTGTGACGAGGTAATTGGCCCAATTATTTGACGCTAGCTAGCAACTGGTGCATTTTAAGTTGATGCAAACTAACGATGGTTTTGCAAATATACATAGATCATCTTTGCAGATGAATGCACCGAGGCTGAGGGACGTCACTGGCACATGAAGCACTTTGCCTGTTTTGAGTGCGGGGCGATGCTAGGTGGACAGCGGTACATCATGAAAAATGGACGGCCCTACTGCTGTGGGTGCTTTGAGTCGCTGTATGCAGAGTACTGCGAGGCCTGTGGTGAAAACATTGGTAAGTCATACTTAAAATCTTGAGAAAAAGTTTGTGATAAACATACATCTATGCATGAATTTGAGTGATAAAACATTAAACCTGTGGCAAGCATTTGTATTCAGCCCAAAGGTGAATCTATCAAGTATCACCTTGAATGCAAATTACTTGTTAAAAATTGAAAAACTTACAGCTTTAATATCACAAAATGTGAAACATATCGAAAAATATTCTATATCAATCAGTCAGACGCATGAAAACGAGATTACGGTAGCATGATTCTTACTTTCATTTCTCTAGGTGTTGACCATGCCCAGATGACCTACGAAGGCGTTCACTGGCACGCCACAGACCAGTGCTTCTGTTGTGCCCAGTGCAAGACGTCTTTGCTGGGTTGTCCCTTCTTACCCAAGCAGGGGCGCATCTATTGCTCAAAGGCCTGCAGCCAAGGGGAAGATGTACATGCCTCAGACTCATCGGATTCCGCTTTCCAGTCAGCCCGCTCTCGCGAATCCCGACGGAGCGTCCGCATGGGGAAAAGCAGCAGGCCTGCTGAACAGTGGCGACAGTCACAGCTGTTTAGCCCTCCCACTACAGTCACCTCTTATGAGCACAGGTTTGGGGAGGGTGAAGGGGACAGAGATGGCGATGGTGACATCGATATAGTGGGGAGTAAGTTAACCCGTCTCGGTCTGGAGGAGGAGAGGTTCTGGAGGGAGCGGGAGGAACAGGATGCCGGTGGAGAGGAGGATCCAGAGGAGTGGGCTCAGCATGAGGACTATATGACTCAGCTCCTGCTAAAGTTTGGTGACCGTGGTATGCTGCACCAGCATCAGCCACTGTCCCTAAAATCACAGAGCCCCAACAGTGACTCAACGCAGCTAATAAGTGCGTCAGATCCCTGGCTGAAGTCCGATTCAAAATCTGTGGGTCTTAACCCCTCGTCCCCTGCCCCCAACAGTCCCACCCAGAGCCAGACTTCTGACCAGTCTCGAGCCAACAGCCTCAGTCCAGGCTTGATGGACAAGCAGCATCTACCCGAAATGTACTGGGCCCAGTCACAGGACGGCCTCGGAGACTCGGCATATGGAAGCCATCCAGGTCCTGCCAGTGCAAGAAAGATCCAAGAGCTAGAGTATGACCAAGATCAGGAGCAGTCTGGAGTAGGAAAGCAGGCTTTTTGGCCAGACACAAGGGAGTGGTATGAGGACTCCCTGGAGTGTATTGCTGACGAGCTAAGGAAGGCTGAGAAGGGTGTTGGAGACTCCATGGATTCCCTTGCTTTGTCAAACATCACTGGTATGCATGTTGCTTAATGTCTTAAATCGGTTCTTCTTACTTTTGATCTCAATATTTGTTAGAATATATTCTAACAAATATTCCTTCTTCACTCTTTTTTTTTAGGTGCATCAGTGGATGGGGATGCACCCACAGTCTACAACCTTCATGGCATCCAGGATTCTTCCATGACTGTCGAGTGTGAGAAAATGAGCAACATGGGAACATTTAATTCATCCCACATACACCCCAGCGCAAACTCCCTTAGTCTTAACATGGAAAAGAGAGTTGAGGAGGCAGAGAATGGGATAGGGCTTGGAATGAGGGTTGGTGCTCCCACAGGACTTCACGTAATATCTCCACATTCAGAGGGCCTACCCGGATCCTTTGTTCAAGCTCCGGCACTACGGAGGAGCAAGTCGCAATCCAGGCCTCCTCAAATGGTCAAGTTCTCAGAAGACACAGTGGACAATGGATATAATGATGGATTTGAGGTTAGTGTTATGAAACATCCCATGAGCGAGAAGCCACAAAGGAGAGCGTACTGTCCAGATGAACCTGGCAGAGCAAGAAGCCACTCGACAAGCCACCACAGCAGAAGCAGGCCCCAACACCACCGACAGAGCCGGCGTCACAAGAGCCGCAAAACTCGCTCGGACAACGCCCTTCACATGGTACCCGTAGAGAGAGCGCAGAGGCTGTTTGAACCTCAGCAGCAGGGTATAGTGAGTCCACCATACGGTGCAATGCGTCTTCAGAACCCTGCACACATGCTGCCGCTGGCCTACTCCCAAACTCGATCTGACTATATGCTCCATAGCTCCAACCAGAATGACCCACGGTTTGAACATTTCATGGGTCTCCACAGAGACGAGGACGACTGGTGCTCAACTTGCTCCTCGTCGTCGTCAGACTCTGAGGAAGAGGGGTATTTTCTTGGCCAACCAATCCCACAACCTCGAGCGGTTGGGCGCTACTATGCAGAAGACTATCCAACAAGGGTGACCGCGCTCACGGCCCTCAGCCACGGGTCACAGACTGGTTGCAGAAAGGGCCATAGCTCCAAAAACTGCATCATTTCTTAGCGAACCATGCCATTAATCTTACGAAGTGCACTACACAAAGCAATAAGGTGAAGATTTTTCAGTTAGGTCTGTCATATTCTGTAAAGAGGCCATTACTGAGCTGTTTAGACACTTCTTATGTGTATGCAAAGCTGGTTAAAATGCTCAAACAGTGAGAGGATTTGAATACCAGTGGAATTTCACCAAGAGAGGATTTTATGTTCAGTTAATAGTTTTGCAATGTTAAATATGGTATACGGTAAACCCCCCCTCTCCCCCCTCAGAGGTTACCAGTGCAAGTAGAGCCAAGAAACTAACCAAATAACTATTTAATGTTTACTAAGGCAACATAAAAATGTAAATAATAAGTTAAAGTTTCAGTTCTAGTATTTTATACTCATTTAAAAGTGTAAAACTTGTTTTTGCTCGAGTGAGAAGAAACACCAAGTTGTCCACAGAAAAAGGCCACATTATTCCTGTTTGATGTTTGCAACACCTTCCACGTTATGTAATCACAAACCATGTACAGAACTGGCAGCGACACACCTGTACTTGCACCTGACCACCAGCATTGCTCTAAGATAACCAACGTACGCTCTGTGATGTAAAGGTGCTTGCAATAAATATTTTTTTCTCCAATCGTTTGAGAATGCTCTGCTTGAATTGGGTTATACAATTTGAAACATATAATGGGCTTTTCTTCTATTTTTGACTTCAAGTAGACAAACTTTCTAAATACTAAGAAAAGAGGGGGAAATATGCATATATGAAAGTAATGAAAGCTAGGTAGTCTTGACCTTCAAAAGTCAGCAAATGGCTACAATACAGAAAGTTACTCAAATATGTCTATAGACAGAAGTAAAAAAAAAAAAAGAAAAAACTGACAAGGTTTTACCAGGTTGCCATTTTTCCCTAATATTTGCACTTGATCCCGCAAGATAAAATTACTTAAAAATTCAGCAAACTTTTTTTCATATATATATATATATATATATATAACACTTACTATAGATTTTTCTAAATTAAAAGGACAACCAAGTTATTTCCAATTTTAAAGTAACTTCTGCAAAAAGACAACCAATACCTTCACTTCAGTGGAGTGTTTCCTAGTTATGGAATTTGGCAACAAGAAAAAAAAGTTTATTCTAGAAACTTCGCCTGCAAAAATTTTCTATTCATATTTTTTTTTTAAGATCCTTTTCTATTTTGAAAAGTTTGCAAATTTCTCCATGTCACTTCAAAATGGGGAGACATCCTTGGCTTTCTATTCTGCAAACATGATACATAATTTGCTTAGAAAGTCCTTAAAATGTGTGAAAAAAAAAACCCAGAACGGGGCAAGTCATTCAAGTAATGTGTAATCTTAATTGCTCTGGGAATGCACATGAACTGCATGAGGAATTTTGCAATATAACTTCTTTAGCCCAATTACTTTAAGTCGGCCCATCTAGAAACTTTCAATTAGTAATCAATAACTTCTGGTTTCCCTGAGGTATGAATCTGAAAGGGCTTTTTCCTTTTTAGCCACTTTTCAAAATGGGAAAGAACATTACATCTTTTCAAGACAGAAGGATGAACGTCTCGCAATCCTTAGTATATTTTGGGAATTTCTAAAAATGGTCAAGTTTTTCGCTTTTTGTTTTTTTTCAGAAATGTCGGATTGAGAAAGGCAATTTCAAATATTTTAACAGCACAAATTTTTACGACGACTTGATTTCTGTCTATTGCAGCACCAAGTGATACATATTTATTCAAGTTACACGTCAGAAAACAAAACTTACAAAATGTGAGATCATGCTTCAAAACTGAATGCCATACTAAACATCATAAGAGCCACGGAGACTTGTAGTTTTTAAATATTATTTAAACAAAAAAATCAAAACAAAAAAAAACTGTAATGTTTTTACATTTTTCATAGAAAACCTGAAGGTAAAAATAGTCCATTCAAAAATAACACTGTTCGCTCCTGCGATGAGTTCCTCAGGTTGCTGTGACCTGCAGTATGTTCAAGTCCAGCAATCCTAAATCTGAGCTGTTAATTCAAAAAAAAATTAAAATTATAAAATAAAATAGAAATCATCAGTCTCATTAAATCGGAGCGGACGTAGACGAAGCGCGTCAGAAAGAAGACGAGCTGTGGTTCACTCCGGTCTTTAAGAGTTTCTGGGACATGGCAGGAGTGACAGAGTCACAGACGAAGGGCTCTGGAAGCCGGACGTCCTCATCCAGCTCTTTGATGAAATGCTTGAGGTCCTCCAGGCAGCGCTCGCGTATCTCCCCGAGGTTCTCCCTGAGCGGGACTTGCAGCTGCTTCTCCAAGCTGGGATCCTTTGCCACCAGCATTTTGACCACCATTCCGAACGTCTCGCAATCCTGCCTGTAGACCTAAAGGACAGGGGAGATTGATTGCTTTCTTTTAGCTATAATACAAACTGAGAAGTTTTCATATATTAAGCCTCTAATTTGGGGGTGAGGAACCGCCTCCGTCCTTCTCTACCCGTCATCTGGATGCAAACACTTCACAGCGTTACACTCGAGCTTACTCCTCTGGTGTGAACACATGCAAAGTGGTGTCAGGACATAAAAGACTTAATTCTTCTCTTGTACTTAATGAGCCCACTTGAAACAAGCTGAGAAACAGTAAAAAAAAAAAAAAATTATTGGTGTTTGCAGGCGTTAAATGAGCAAAGGACATTTCTGCGCTTCAAAATCCTCCACAGTGAAGTGAGTCTATTATTTCTACACGTGTTTGAGTGGTAAAGCATAAACGTTGCCTTGGAAAAGCATCAATCCGTTTACCACTTTTCACATTTGAACAAACTACAACCACAAACTATTTTTGTGGGACTGTAGCAAACGGTCTGTGTGCAATTTAATCTCAGTATAAATTTAGCAGCTGTGTGAAGGTTTTATTAAAAAGGAAGTGTGAAATACGATGTCTTTCCGTAGTAGGAAGATGTCCCGGGTCGATGGTAAAATGGAGGACAATCCCGAAAGCAAAAAGTTTTTAAGATGCTGCAGAAGACTTTAGACTGTGGCTGAGATTTAACAGCCAGCTGGATTGGTCAAGACACACAGCCAGAGCAGCAATTACTCAAAAAAAAAAAAAAAAGAATGGCCCAGTCAAAGACCGGACCAAATCAATACTTTTGCACACTCAGTTTCCAGATTTTATTTTTAAGTCATTTTGGGGATCAATGTTAAAAGCTGATTTAATATTAGTTAAGTCTTATTGTCTGTAGGTTCAAACAACCAAACAAACACAATGGTAAGAGTTCTAATTTTCAGTGTATTATAGGGCTATTCTATAGTTTTGTGGCATTCGTAACAGCTTTATTATGAAAATTCTGAACTTGTCAATTCAAGAATGGACTATTCTAGACTGAAATCCAATATTTTAACAATAGTTTGTGAACTTTTTTTTTGTAAACTCCTAGCAATTAGCAGGCTTTGTTAGAGTTCTTTGTTGGCATTTTAGAGCAGATTCAAGAACCGTAGGTCTGAATTTAAAGTCGTCTAGAGGTCAAACAGGTCCTTACCTAACAGATCCACACCTATAAAGTAGCAAAAGCTATACGGTTTAAAACTGCACAGAAAATATAAGAATCTGTGGAAAGATGGGCAAAAAAATCCCCCCAAAAAACAAACAAAAAGGCATATCTGAAATACACTCCATCCAATCTGACTAACACATTCCAGAAGAAACATTGGCTACAACTGGCAAAAAAAAAAACACAGAACAGGGTATGAATATATGATGCAATTTTCCAAGATATAAGCGTTCGCGCATGCCAACAGGTTATTCAGGTTAAATAACGGCATTTATGGGCCAAAGAAACCGACACCATTTCACAACGTGACCGATTTAATTAGCTAGTCAGTCCCATCTACCCCCGAGTTTTCTTTTTCTTGAGTCAGAACAAAATTAATTCACAGACACTGATGATGTTACACAAGTAAATGAGCTAGAGGGCTGATTCACAAACACAGTTCAAGTAAAAATGCATAAATACAAGCATGTGCCCATCAGGCTGTGTGTTGTAAATTAGGCCAAGCAAGACAGACTTTCAGTCATTCAAAAACAGTGGCTTCTGCACTGCAGGGCGCTCTGACTCACCGGCTTATTTATAGATTTTCACATCGTTCCTAGAACACAACGCATGCTCGCAGGAGAAGAGACTTCCAGAACAAAGATCTGCTGCTGTCAAACAGAGTTCATCTATTTGTAACTACAAAATAGCCTTTAAAAAGTAAAACATGTCACCCACAATCAGAATACAGAACCAAGTGTCTGTAATATATTCTATGATGAGTGGAACGTTAGCAAGAGATGGACAAAACCTGAAAGCTCATAGGTCAATATTTATGACCCATTAGTACAAAAAAAGTGATAATCTGCAAAATAATAAAATAATAATAAAAAAGGTGTGTTATAGGCCTTCATATGCAAATGTTTATTAAAAGAAACTCATTATGGGGACAAATTAAATAAAATTTTGTTTCTCCCTTAGCATGTTGCGGGGAAACCACAAAGTTTTTGGTAGCCATTAGCGAGCTTTTAGCATATCTCTGTTTTTATTTGTGGAAGGAACCAAAGAATAGTATTTAAACTTTTTGCTGGTTGAGGTCAGGGCTTTGGCTAGACCATTTTATATATTAAAACAAAATCCCTCCCCTCCCAAAAAATTACAAATGTTTCAGGTTAGTATTGTTTGCTTAAGTCCCAACCTTCTACAAATACTTACAGAAGGAGAGGACAAAAAGTGGCGTTGGTTTTTAAATGATTTACTTTCACAATAGGAAGAAACAGTCACATCAATCACTTCAGAGGAAACATACGCTGGTCATCAGGATACAGTTTCCAAACCAGATGGTGACACAAATCAAACACACCCTGTCCTTTAAACCGGATGTGTTCCACACACACCTTGTGTGTATAACATGAGTTGGGATGTTATTCACACAACGTCTGACGGTCTCGCTCAGCAGCTAACTATTTATACTATTCTCTCAGGATGCGTCCAATCAGTGTGCGGACTGCGGCTTCTATGAATACAGGAAGAAGCCGTTCCTACAAAACAATGTGCCGAAAACGAGTCCCGCTTCCTAAAATCCATCCGGTTATCCAATCAGGAAAAAAAAAAATAATAAAGAAGTAGTTCTCGACAGAATGAGAGTTTCTTTCTTAAGAGTTCTTGTGTGTTTACACTCGTCAAGTCGTCTAAAAATCTGACAAAATTAATGTGAAATTTATCCATCTTTAATGTGAAAGTTTCAGTAAAATTAGAATTACAAAAAAATAAGCGGGGAAATGTATTTTTAAACAGTTGTAAGAAAAATCTGCATAATTGGATTGTATTGAAATTAATTCTAACATCTATCAAGTAAGGTTTTATATTGCCACCGGATACATGCGCAGTATAAAAAAAAAAAAAAAACATCATATCTAAATTTACAACATCTATCAGTTTAACATTAGCATAAGTGTAACTATTACAATTGGTAACGTTGGCTTTATGCTCTCTGTAGGGCACTTTATACATATATAAGGTTCTTATCTTTACAGCACCGCTTTACTGACACTGTAGAGGCATAAACGCATCTGTCATTGTTTTGGCAGCCTTGCAGAGAAGAACCAGATGCTTAGAATGCCAGTAGTTCAATAAATCTTTATGATTCTGCTGACCATAGGTTCAGCAAATATCAGTAAAATCCTAACAGTGATAAGATATTCAGATTCATTATAAATTAAGAGTCTGAACTCAAGAAGAAATGTGAAAGTGAGATCAGAAGATCTACAAACCAAAGTATTTATAGATGTGCACAGTCGTGCAACAAAATCATTGGAGTTGTTTTTAGAGTTATATGACAACAAACATGATATTTTGAAGGCGGGCATAAACTCTCTCAGTTGTGTGTTTGTATCTCCCCTTCGCCAAAGAATGTAGATCAAGACGGACTGAAAAACAGGACTACCATCCCCGTCCAGCTCTGCAATCTTTTTGAACAAAAACAGACAAAGCGCTCAACAGTTCTTCTGCGGCCAAATCTATTTATACTCCTAACCCAACGATATAAAACTGCCTTTGTTCCGCAGCCTGGGCAGTGAGGAGTAAAACTAACCCTTTTATAGCCTGCATGCCTCGTCACTCACTTCCAACCACTTTGGCCGAGTTTCAGATCAAGCTAGCTTCAAGATTGAGGCGGCCCGTTAAGGTTTCAAAGTCAGACGGTCGCCGAGTGTTTTTAGGAGCTGCTTTGCGTTTGTGTCTGTGAGGGCACTAAATCAAAATGGAGAGCAGAAAACCAAACACGTGGCCCACACTCGTCATGTGAGGAGGGATACTGCTTTGACTTTGGCGTGAAAAAGTGAGGGTAATTGTGTCATTACGGCGTAAAATAAACCAAGTGAGCTTACCCGAGAGGTGTTAAAAGGATGATGGGAAATTAAGGCCAGCGAACCTGACGAGCGCTCTCAGACGTTTTATAGCTGCTGGTGCAAAGTCGGTGTGAAAGCAGCTCTTAGGTTTTAGTTGGTGTACAGAAGCGCCAACTGTTCAAAAATTAATTCACCAACTAAGAGGAAAAGGAAGAAAGCAGTAAAGACGTATACTCTACTGAGAAATGTTGATTAAATTACTTTTGTCTGGCAGGATTATGTCCCAACAGTCTGGTCTCTTATGAAAAACCAAATGACAACCTTCAAAATCTGGAAATCATAAAAGCTTCAGAGAGCAATGACAGACCAGAAAGCTGGAGTCGTATAGAAGCGAAAAAAAAAACAAAAAAAAAAAACTAAATATTTAATTTGTTCCCCCCATCCCCGACTGTTATTTGACAAAGAGATCTGATAACATAAAGCAGGACAGATTCTGAAACAAAATGTTGCATTAAAATGAAAAATCTGACCTACAGAGTCAGCCACATGTATCAGTATAGAAATATTTTATTAAGCTAGCATAATGACACACTGAAAAGTGTCAAAGAACTCTATGCTTTGGGTTAATTTCCCCCCCCACAAAAAATCTTTCAATGCGAGATTATGTTGCTTACCAGGGAGAGGAGGCAATTAAAGTGGCCTGTAGTGGGAGTTAGAATGAGACCACAAGGATTAAACAGTTGGGCTGTAAAAGCAGGAGGGAAGCCGCGGCGTCAGCAGTAGCACTGCAACAAAGCTGCAGGCTCGATGGTGCAGCTCGACGTGAGAGAGTGAAATGTGTCCTCCAGGGCAGAGGTAGCTCAGGATTTAATGGTTTCGAGTAAACCAACGGTAGCGTTCACTGGTCCGGGAACGGCCTTCATTAGACAAGTGAGCAGGTCTGGAACCTTTAGCCTGGGGTGCTGCAAGCTCTGTTAAACGCAAATCCTTCGCATTTATTGTGCGTATACAGATAGTCCCAAACTTTGCTCAGTGGCGAGCTTCGTTCTGTTGCACCCAGGTCAGAACTGTTACTAGAGCTACATGTAATAACGTGACACTTTTATAAGAAGCAAAAGAAAAAAACAAAAAAAACAAACTCTGAGCTTCAGAACATTATAGCAGCGTTTGCAGCAAAACTAAATCACAGACTCTCAAAGTGTAATCTTGAGTTTGTACACAGTATTAGCAGAATACATGAGCTTCATTAGCAGTGTTATTAGTTTTTTTTTTTAGTTTATCCTAAGTAGCATTATTTTCATTTGCAAATCAGATCGAAATAATGTAAGGTTGGCTCTAAAGACGTCCTGAAAAGACTGCTCATTAACCTTATCGGTGCAATGTAAATGCTTCTGTCTCAGCACCTTTCAAGTGCAGCACAATTTAATTTTAGTTAAATTTTAGTTAAACTGGGATATTTAAAAATGCCAGATCACTGGTTCTAAGTAGATTCATTGAAATAGAAGTACCTTTTCTATCTCCTTGGCTTTGGCTGCGATGGCCATGGTTCGCCTCTCTTCTAGATTCTCTGTAGACTTTTTGCTGTCTTCAGTGACCGGAGTCACAATTGGTTCCTCCTTTTCTGCCTCTGGTGGATTACTTTCCTCCTGTAGGGAGACGAGAAGAGAGCTGTATGTGAATCGTGGCTCTAAAGGGAAGCTAAGAAACTGAAAAGCAGATTAAGAATGACTGTGGACCGAAGGAAGACTTGGAAAACGCTTGAAATCGCATGACAAAACACTAAGGATGTGTAGGAATGTCGGTCAGTAACCTGAAGCCCAGCTTCAGTGGATCACCATGATCTGATCTACTGTTACCTCTTTTATAGGAAGCCAAAGTCGGTGAAGCATCGTAAAAAGGTCAAACTTAGCTCAACAGCAGCTTTTCCAACATGAAAAGTCAGAGTCGCTTTTGGCAAATGAGTAAGCTCAACTTTGAACTACAACTACAAAAGAAAAGCAGAAAGGAACATCAGGATTCCCGTTGATGTTTTCATTAAGTATCAAAGCTAATCTAATAATACTCTAGCGGTTTCTACTCATTGGCTTGTCTGGTTTTGGACAGAAACTTCCGAAATCAGGAAGCATCGCAACAAAATTAAGCCTTCTAACGAGCAGACTGGAAGTTGTGCGTAAATGGGGACGCATTCCTGCTCATTTCCTGATTCTACGAGAGTTTGACGGCCAGGGAGCAGAACCGCCCAACCAGGACTAAAGTTCGCTCATTCATTTGGGGGAAACGGGCCACGGACCAAGTCATCTTTCATTCCTAGAAGTCCAAGTAAAGACATTACAAGCGACGGAGCATCACATCCGGCTGCGGTCTAAAAATGAAAAGCACAACTCATAAGGAATCATCCAATTATTCCTTCCTATTCAGTGCCGAGCGTAGCTCCAGGGAGAAGTCCTGCGTACACTCTTGTGCACGTATGAAAGATCACATTTGTCAGGCTTCGGCCTCCTTTGCTCGAGTTAATAATGAAAGCAAGCATAACTTTCAGAGCCTTATTTGAAGTGGCTGGAAAAAAGGCTCAACTAGGTTTGCTCTCAAGCCAAAGCTTTTTTATTTTTTTCCCCACATATGGGGAATAATGTGAATGTGGTCATTTTTAGAGTATATGCAACAACAACAACAACAAAAAACACACAGAACAACAAAAAGACATTTTCATTCCAAGATATTTTTAGCTTATTTTTCTAGACAAACATAAATGCCCGCATGGTCTAAAATTAAATTAGGATTTATGTTTCCAATGTTCTAACAGTCTGCATTCATCGGAGCTGTATTCTTGACATTGCCTGGGATTTTCCAAACATGAGACCCTCCAAGCACTAGTACTGACTGAGAAAGTAGTGCTTTACAATAAGTCGACATGGTAGAAATTATTGCGACAATGCAGAAGCTATTACTTCATATGTCAAAAATTAAACAAGAATACAATAAGTCACAAATGGAAACAAACTTTCCCCCAATTTTAACCAAACTTCCTTCAGCTTTATAGTTTTATGTGAAAGATCAACATGTAGCAGTTGTGAAGTGAAAAACTTAAAAAAAAATTGGCATTTCCCTTTCAGCCCCCTTTACTCAAATACCCTAAAATAAAATCCAACGCAACCTACTCAGCACTGCTTTTCGAAGTCCTGTAAATTTAATCTCAGTAGAAATAGAGCCGTTCTGTGGAGGCCTCAGAGGCTTTTCAGAAGACATTAGTGAATAAACATTGTCATGAAGAAGAAGAAGAAGAAACACAGCAGACAAATCAGGGATACCGCTGCGGTGAAGTTCAACGCAGGGTTTGGTTATGAAACAATACCCTCGGCTTTGAACGTGTCACACAGAATCAATCCGTCTCCCAAAAACGGACAGAATATGGCACAACTCTAAACCCACCAAGACCAGGCCGCCCACCTAAAACCAGACAAGGGGAGCATAAATCAGAGAAGCAGCAAAGAGATCAGGAGAAAAAGCGGGAGAAATTTGGCAATGGAACAAACTGAACGTCCAGAGAGACCATTGTTGGAAAAATAAGCGGTAAGAAATCCTGTTTAGAGTTTGCCGTGGAAAATAGCTGCGCTGATCACATTAGAGCACAAACCTTCACCCTGAACACAACTTCCCCCACCATGAAACGTGATGGAATCTGTGGAAAGATCTGAACACGGGTTCAGACTCTTTCGATCCGGTCAGACTCGGCTAGAGACATCTCTCAACAAAGAATGAACAAAGATTTCAAAAATGGGCAAATCTGATCATTACCCTTCAAGGCTAGCAGCTTTAATTGCATAAAAGGTGGTTGTACAGATCGCTGACTCGGGGTGGCTGAATAGAAACACACACGGCAGTTCAGCTCTTCATTTCTAAAACTGTGAAAAACAATTCATCCTTTTCATTCACCTTCACATTTCTGCACAGATTTCCACTGGCCTACCCCGAAAAAGTTCAAAGGTTAACAATACTTTTGCAAGACGCAAGAATCCACGAATCTTGTTATTTTACGTGGCCAAATATGAAACGGCAACAAAGAGGGTTTTTTTTTTTTACAGTGATGAACCTCCTGGTGACCTTTCCTTTGTTCCAAATCCAGCTCTCCACCCATAGACCACCCTGGCTCACAGCCAGAGGTGGAGCTGCTCTATAGTTACCCTCCTCTTTGGTCTCTTCAGTCAGAGATGGCTCCAGAAAGCCTGCCTGTGCGTGTGTGCGTGTGTGTGTGTGTGTGTGTGTGTGTGTGTAGTACGGCCACAGCAGGCAGCGACCCAGACCATTAGAACAAGCTTTACTGAATGTGCACAGCAAAAGGCTTTCATCTCGGCCAAGGTTATGGGCATGTGCCCCGGGAACAGATCAACAGTGCACCGCAGCACAGATCAAACCTAGCAGAACCACGTGTATGCGTGCGTGCGTGCGTGTGAGAGGAGAGGTGGGACAGCAACAAACTTTTATCACAGCATTGATTGAACGGGACATGGGTCAGACAGAGGCATGTTTGCATCTTGGAACAACTCGTTTGTTACCCAGCTGTTTGTGTCGTTTCCTTTTTATACTTCCAACCAAATACGTTCTTGCAAAACGCACACAGTGCTCTCGGTTTTTAAAACTCTCTCTCGCTTTGTCCCAAAAAATGAAAAAGCAGCTTTTGATTGTGGCTGTGGTAGACCAGACCTCTTCTGAACTGGTTCAGTGAAACCACAACACCATTGTGACCATAATAGAGCCGTTTCATTGGGTTTTTGATTAAAGTAAACTCACCACAGACTTGTAAAAACGCTACAAGTCAACTTCACTTTAGAGAAATGAGGTCGGCGCTGCAAAAGCAGTCTGGGGCAACGTTTTCGGAACGTCAAAAGGAAATTAAATGACTATAGGCCAACCAGTGTGGGTCCCCACTGCAAATATATCTATTTTTTTTTTTACCTATAGAATGATTCTTTTTTCTTTTACTGAATATTGTTTGAGTTGTTTAGAACAGTATTTTTTTTTAAGTGTTTTGCTAATATTTTCACTACAAAAGCTACAAGAAGATCACGGTGGGATGCAAACAGTAAATGGAATAAACAGTTTGAGCGCTTTTGAACATTAAATTCTTTCACGTCGTTATCCGTCAACAGATTTTCCCCACTTGAGCTGTTCATCTCTGCAGTCTTAAACATGAACTTCTTAGCTGTTTTTCTGAATCATGTTCTCATTGCCCGGCCTGTCAGTGTAGGTTTGCAGTTGTGCCATACTATTTTCATTTTGGGATAATGAGGGATTTTACAATGTCTGTAGCTTGAGCTAATGTTGGATAATTTAACCTTCACTGTTTTCTCTGAGCCATGATGCCGTGATGATGCCGTTAGTTCACTGATGTTCTTTAACAAGCCTCTGAAGCCCTGTGAAGAACTGGATCTGCTGAGATTAAATGATACTGACGTTTATAGTTGCTAATTTTATTTAGTAGTATCCAAGTAAAGTGGGCTTAGCACAAATGCACATCACACTTTCATCACATGCCAATTTCAGTTCGTCAACCAGATAATTTCTACTTCTGAAAAGGATTGTACACGGACTTTACTGCATAAATTAAGTGCATCCAAGTGTTTTAATTCCCTTCTAATTTGGTAAAAAAAAAAATAAAAGTCAAGTACTCCTAAAAAAAACAACAACCAGAAGACCAATACTGATTCACACAATAACATTTTGGTCGCAAAAATTGTTCAATTCCAACACTTATCAACCTATATAACTTACAGGAATAAACTCTGAAGTGATTAACGAGCAATTCTTTCGGAGCATTTACATTTTTTTGGTCAAGATCTGAATGAGGCGCAAAATACAGAAGCCTCTCAAATTCAAGTCCGCAACGTCGCTTGCGGGACTCGACATCGACGTCTCGAAAAAAATCGAAACGTCCAACGGACACACTCTTGATCCGAATAAGGAAACGATTGTTCAGTGTAAACAGCATAAACACATCTTAATGAGCTCTGCTGGGACTCCGCTGTCTTTGCGGTCAAGATCATGTGATAAAGTTATGACTCGGGCTACTGACTTAACCCCTTGCTTCTGGGTGGCCTCTGCTACACTCACACACACACACACACACAGCTCCCTAATCGCAATCACATCTGATCTTATTTACCCTCCTCCTCTGCGCAGCTGAAGATGGATGGCATGAGAAAAACAAACTACTATTTACAATTTGGGCAGGAGCTGTACACAGGGCAACACTAAAAGTAGTTTTTAAAAACTTGGTCAACACTTGAGCCACTTTCCTCTGCCGTTATCAGTCCATCTGACTGAAGTCTGCTTATACCACAGATAAACACAGTGCAGGCCTGATGGCTTTTTATGCTGCGGCTGAACGCTGCTTTAAAAGCCATTAGCATGCTTCAGTGGGACTGAACGCTTACAGCGAGGATGGGATTTAAGAAGTTCCAGATGCACCCTGCCGGTCGGCGTCGAAGGCAGAGAGCAGGGCGACCGATTAATAAAGTTGATTAGAGCTGCTGCGTAAGCAAATTTAAACCCAAGTTGGTTGTTTGTTAAAAACAACAAAGGGTTCTTATGGTCCACTTCCCTCAAAATATCTTTAAATTTAAGCAGACGTTTCTTTGTTGCTCACCTTGTTTGATGTCGCACTCTGTGGGGAGCCTTCTCGTGACAAGCCAGGAATTTTGTCTGTAATTTTAGGGAAAACAAAGAAGAAAGAGAACAAAGGACTGATACATTGAGCTTTAAAATGGGGGCAAACATGAAACATTATCCACCGGACAAAGGAGATTCGGGAAAGCGGTTGGGAAAAAAAGCGATGAGAAGCTGGGATTCTGCGACGGAAATGGAGAGCAAGAAAAAGGAACGTAGCTTTCATAGCCAAAACACAGCAACGCGTTAATTGTGGTCACCAGTCGAGCTCTTTTGTATAGTTTTTTTCTTTCTTTTCTCGCATTTAAATCATTTAAGTTTTCTGGGTCAATTAAAAAAACAACACTAAAGTAAACCCTTGGCACCCAGGAAAGAAACGTAAAAATACGCCAGTGGAAACACCGGCTTCAGGAATATCCATCAGACACGCTACACCCTCTTCCCACTACTTCCCCCCAGCATGAACTGGTGGCATCTTTACGAGCCCTGACAGACAGGACGACAGAAACGAGGAGAGGGGCTTCCTGCAGGACACGCTAGAAACGCTTTCTGTCAACTCGAGTTACTCGGACTTAACCGTTTCATTTTCCATTCAGTTTGTACTGGAAACCGCAGCTCTGACTTTCTGGGATTAGTGCGACTGATTAGAGAAATATTGCGGGATGAAAGGAAATGTGTATTTTATTTTGTTTATACTTTTCTTTCCAACAAGTGCTTTTGCAAGAATAGTTGTATTCTTGCCCCTTTTCTTGTAGAGGATAAGAAACATGCGATGGACAGTGTTCTGGTCAGAGGAATTTGAACTTTGTGACATGCATTTAAAACCATGTGTGGTGGAAACCCAAAGATGCAAAGCACCTTGAACACAGTAGCTGTGAAACAAGGCAGTGGCAGCATTGAGCTGCAGAACAGTGAAGCTTGAACTAGGATGGAGTAAAGTACAGGCCAATCGTAGGAGACTTTGTGTTTGTCTACCACAAAAAAAAAAAAAAAATCCCAAAGACATATCCTGGGATTTGTGAATCTGTAAAATAAAAAGTGGAAAAGTTCCAAGGTTGAAAAATACTTTTGCACGGCACTGGAGCCACATCCTCTAACCTCAAACAACAATGAGTTGAGAAAGCACAATTAAAACGGCTAAACTGGGATTTCTTGCATTAGACATCAGTAATAATTTTAATAAAAGTCCAGGCCAAGTTGGTCACCAACAACTAGACTGAACTTTACTTACCAATAATCTTGGACTCAGTATAAGTTTCTTCATACCCTGCAGGAAAACCAAACCGTAAAATCACTAAGCCGAGGATGATAACTGGGGCATCCAACATGAAAAAAAAAAAAAAAACCCACACAACTATGACCCAGTCCCTTTAATGGAAGGTTTAGTCACGTTTCTCCGCCTTAAGGTCATTTTATCATGCACCCCCTACCAGTTAAATCATTACCAAAACACACCAATATTGTTCTGCAATGTAAAGAAAGCACCTATACTAATAAATCAAAGACTTACTTCACAGGGGCAAAGCTCAAGGTGAGATGGAAAGCACAGGATAGAACCAGCTCTCAGAGTAAATTGGAAAGTTAAAGGTTTGAAGGCAACAAAAAGAAAACAAAAAAATCATGCAGCACATAAAGAGATATCTTAGCACTTTCATGTGTTTTACATTAGATCTGTCGGTAGGTAAAATGTGTGAATTTTGTCAAAAAAGAAAATGTAAAAAAAAAAAAAAAATTAATTCTACTATGAATTAAAACTATTGTAACGACACTGAATGAGTAAGAACAATGAAATGTGCTAGTGTACCTCACAAGAACAAGATGAGGTGATTTCCTTATTCTAATTAATTATTACCCCCCACTAGGTTATTGTATATTTAAAACTCATGAGATAACTTGCTTAAGACCTGGTGAAACATATACTAGTTTCTGGGTTGGTGTTTTAACTTTAAATGTTTACACTAAATGTCCCGATTCCAGAAAGTCTTTTAATTCGTTTAACTTTGCCGCAGTCCTCGTCGTGTTTTGTGCACGACAAGGATGCAAAAGAAAGGACATCACCCAGGTCCAAGCTCGCTCACGTGAGTTGGTGTACAGACCCAAAACGTCATGTCCGCTCTGAGGAAAGAGCGCCCCCCAGAGGTGCTCAGAAACACCTGTGTGACTCTCTGGACCGTCCAAATCTGGAAAAGCCAATCAGCCAGATTGTCAGTCAAAGACACAGAATGAGGAGAGGCAAACAAAAGAAATGGAAAACAATGGATGTACTTTCTTGTTTTTTGACTTAAAGTTTGTTTTTTGTTTGTTATTTTTCTTGTTAAATGATGCCTACATGGATTCAATCTTTTTGAAAATGTAATTTGATCTCTATTGAAAATGCTTGACATGCTTATGGTGAAAAGAATTGTAAATTGCTCCTGAAGCTATTTATAACCCTGATTTCAAAAAGGTTTAATATATATATATATATATATATATATATATATATATAAACATGCATCATGTTTTGTACATACTCTTGCCTTGCTGTGTGGAAAAAGGCAGGTTCTTCGCCCTGTCCGGTGAGTAGCCTCTGCTGCTCACGCTGGAGCCGGAGCGACTGTGAGGGGAGCGGGCCACCTCGCGGCGGACAGGGGAGCGTTCTCTTAGGGGAGGAAACAGGGCTGCCTTCCTCCTGTAAGGATCCCTGTCCTCTCTGGAAGAATGAGAGACGTATATTAGTTTTATATTTGTCGTATTCCAACATTTCAAGTGGAAACTGGAAAATTGTTCTCCTTTGATATCGGATCCAGTGATTTGCCACAATTTCTGTTCACGGTTCCATTTAGTCAAAAACGCAGTGCAAAGTCGCCATCTAGCGTTTACTATTATGTACTGAACTTCATTTTGGATTAAAATATTGAACCATCTATCCTATATGTTGCGACTTCAGCCTCTAATGACTTTCTAAAATTAGTCTGAGACGGTGCTAAGAAACGGATTCCCAGGTCGGTGATTTTCATACCCTCTGTCCAGGTTGCGGATGGCTTGCACTAATGTGTCTTCCCCGCTTTCTGGGAGCGATCTGGCAGCTGGATAAACGCCCTGGCTTCTCACACTGGGAGGTGGAGGTACACGAGCACTGAAGGGAGAAAATATAAATTTCATGAATTAATAAAAACCCTGATATGTGGTTGCAAAACTCTAAGATGATTTTTGAAATGAAAAATACAAAACAAGTCTGGGTTTTTAACCTGCCTTATTTTAATTTATAAATTTCACTGAATATCATTAAATGATTTGCGGCAGCATTAAAATTGTATGGCGTTCAAAGGATAATGCAAACAGTTTTTCTGCATTGCCAGTTCATTCACTTGTAATTTTTTTATCTTCTCTGTTATTACAAAGTATAAACATTTTATTTTAATTAAAAACATAATGGACGCTGTTGTGCTAAAACACTAAGGGAAGGAAATACAAACAACTTATTTATAGAAAAGTTCTGGAGGCTGAGAGGAATGTTTGGAGTTCCCTCCTGTTCCTGTTGCCCTTAGCAACTTGCTCTTCGATAAAGTGAGAACAATTAAAAGGACTTTTAGATTCTTCAATGCCAAACTAAAATTCCCTAAATAATATTACCATTGCTGTGTGAGCCAATGTGTAGTAACGGGTGATCAATGAAATTTTAGAGCATTGGTATTCATGACTAACTCATCATTGTGGTGCAGAAATGAGGTTTTTAGATGGAAAATTCACAAAATGTGTACACCATTTCAATACTCAAATACAAAACAGGCCGGTGTAGTGAATGAAATCACAGCAAAGAACCTTAGACTTTAGCAAAAAAAAAAAAAAAAAAAAAAAGACAAAAAGAGAAATAATTACCCAAACTCCAAAGATCGTCCCGCATGAGGGTCTTCTCTCGGTACTCTGTATGGAAAGTCTTCCTACAAAAAAGTTTTGAAAAATACAAATAATGAAAAAAGAAATGCAGTAGATTAAGGTCTTGTATGCAATTTAGTTTTCATCAATACTTAAAGGTAGAACAATTGAACATAAAGACACTAATGCCAACCTCAATAATGCAACATTTTATCAAAGCAAACATTGATACAGTAAAGCAAAAAAGAAGGGATTGTCTTATTTTTACCCTTCGTGCTGGTGGGATTGCTCTGCGCTCAGGAAAGTGGTGACCCTCCACTGGATAGCCCCTCTGATCGTCATGGAAACCTCGAGGGCCGCCTCCATTCGGGTAAAAACGGGGACCTCCTTCGTATTCATACCCGCCCCGACCGTACTCGTCCTCCGGTCTGCCAAACGGGCCTCTCCTCTCGACGGCTCCGGCTGCCCTTGGATACGTACCCTGCGCAGAAGCGTGGAAAGTAAGAATTCTTGGAAAAAAATAAAATGGATAAATAAGTATATCTTTTGTTGTCTAAAAAATGGTTTTGTTGGAACAAACAAAGCTTGCGACTTCTGCTCCGAATGAAAAGGGCAAAAATATATATTTTTTTTTTAAAAAGTAAGTCTCTACACACTTACTGGCCTTTCTTGCATAAAGCGGTCTTCATACACCTCCCGTATACTTCTGTCTCTTCTGTATGTCACTGTGAAGAGACAACATAAAGACATTGCATCATTTCAGAAGGGAAACTTGCATTGCATAGATGTGTAACAGAGTGAAATGTGTCAAGCATTTAATTCTTGTAATTTTGATGAAGATGGCTTAGAGATAATGAAAATTCCTCCTGACGATACCTCAAACTCTCTACGGGGTTCAGGTCAGACCAGCCGCTGGTCAGTCAGGCACGGTGACACCCTGCTGTCAGAGCCAGCTTCAGGTGCCATTCCCTACCACTGCCGGGAATGGAAGTCAGCATCTCCTTGTCAACAGAGACACACTAATACTTCTTGGTAAATGGCTGCATTGACTGGACTTTAGAAAGCGCAGTGGACCAACACCAGCAGACTGAATGGCAACCCCAACAACCGACTGTGGAAACCCCACTCCGGATTTGAAGCAATGTGGATTCTGTGATTGTCTACTTGTTCTCCAGACGCTGACACTTTGGTTTGCAAATTAAATGCAAAATTATTTTAACCCGATTTTGAACCACTGAGCAATTCAGTTCTTTATTTCCAAATCCCGATTTTGAACCACTGAGCAATTCAGTTCTTTATTTCCAAATCCCAGTTAACATGCTTCTGTCATATTTGGTTTAGATGCTACTTCACACAAATACAGCCATCATCTCCACTCTTTCTATGAATATACTTGGATGCTGCACTCTGAACAACCAACTTCTTTAGCCATGACTTTTTGTGGCTTACCCTCCTTGTAGACTGTGCCACAGACTGTTTCCAGGATGCCTGTCAAGTTATGTTTGTGTAGCCTGCTAACCCACACAGAGACCATCAGAAAATGTTTGCAGGCGTTTTGAGTAAATTAGATATGACAGGAGTTTCTAATATAGAATCGACAAATGATTTATTTTAAAGACTTTAAAACACTTTTGTTACTTTATAAATCACTGAAAGGCTCACTGAAAGAGCTGCTCTTGCCGCATCAACCTTCCAGACCACCAGGGTCTTCTAGTTCTGGCCTGCTCTGCGTCTCCAGAACCAGAACCAAACACGAAGAAGCAGCATTCAGATTCTATGCACCAAAAATCTGAAACAAACTTCCAGAAAACTGCAAAACAGCTTTAGTTCCTTTAAATCGAGCCTAAAAACCTGCCCGTTTAAAGTTGCTTTTGAACCATAATAAATGAAACACTGACCAGCATATTTGAGGTGTATTACTTTGGTGATGGCACTCATCAAAAATGCATTTCTTGTTCAAATTGTTGACTGCATGGTGTTTTCTTTATCACTCTTCGTTTTTAGTATGCAAAGCACCTTGAACCGCATCGCTGCTGAAAATAATCCGCAAATAAACTTGATTGATTGATTTAACTTCACCACAATATTCTAATCTTCCAACATAACATTGGTTTTCACTATCAGTTTGCCATAACCATCAAAAGTACAAAAAAATCAAACACTTGACAGAATTCTCTCCATGTGTATTCAATCCATATAATTTATGAGTTATACTTTGTGAATGATGTGACAAAATACAGAACTTTATTACAACACCACCACCTGTAGTTGTACTGTTACCAGATTCCCTAGCCTGCTCCACAATAATGCAACACCTTGCTCGTCTATTACATAAAATAGAATTTACATGTGTACAGGTTTGGAGTAGTATTTTTGATAAAATGAAAAAGACAGAGATTGTGAAATGCAACCCTTGTTTTGTTTACTTGTCCCTTAAATGGTGCCTCTACTATAAAGGCTTGGTTGGTTACTTACTTTTCAAGTTTGTTGCTTTTCGGGAAATACGACCTTCAATCTGTGGAGAGATTTTCAATGGCATAAATGGAATAGCTAAACATTTCTGAAGAAAGCATGCACAAACCTTTATCTGAAAACAAAAACATACGTTGATAGAACGTTTGATAACACAACAAAAAAAAAACATGAACGCAAGATAATTCAATGTGAAGCTTATAAAGTGTTATTTTACCACAAAAACAACTAGTTTCTGTTTGACTTGACCGATTTCGTTTGGGCTTGTTGTCCTGGAATATCGTAAAGAACACCTCCCCTTTGCCCCGCTAGCTTCGACAGCGATTTATTATTAGAACACTGTTGGTTTTAATGTATTAAATACACCAACTCAATGCAGAATAAAAGATAAATTAGAGCTAACTCGGCTAACCAGTCTGTGCAGCAAACATTCGCACGTTTTGTTTGACGTAAGTGCAGGTTAGCTTTCAGTCACTAGCGCATAAATTACCCAAAACAAATATTTACAGCACTTCTGGTCGTGCACAACCATCCGTATTTTAAAAAACAAGTACAAAAGCTATTTCTCCGAGCGGAAAATATCAAAACAGTCTCACCTCTTATCACCGTTTAGCTAGCCTAGCCTTTCAGAGTTGCAACACAAGACGTATTTATTAGGACGAATGCGTCATCAAGCTGCGACGAGCAGGCAGCGTTTTGTTTCTGTTAGCTTCGTTATTTAGAAACACAACCATTTTCTTGTTTTGACATCACCAAACTGCGATTTATTAGTGACATCCACATAGGTAAGTCTTGCATTGAACTCACTTGCGTGCACAAAGTCACATGACAACATTGAAATCAAATTGATAAGCGATTATGTTCTTTTTTTTAATTATTGTTTTGCATCAACAGTCTGTCCACTATGAGTGGGGGTTTAGCTCCAAGCAAAAGCACAGTTTATGTATCAAATCTACCATTCTCTCTGACAAACAGCGACCTGCACAAGGTAATCTGACTTTTTTGAAAATCCTTCTATGCAAAGAGTCTTAGTACAGTTAAAATCTATATATTTTAATCAATTGATATTTTTGTACACTAACATACATACCTGCGTCATTGCAGTTATTCACAAAGTATGGAAAAGTTGTAAAGTAAGTATTGCCTTTTTTGTATTTTGTTTTATAACCATTCCACACATGAATTGAAATGCTATGTTAATTTCAACATTTTATTTGAAATTAAATACAGGGCACTTAAATATAAATTTGCCCTGCATGAATTTACCAAATTCAAAGTTTTTAAAAGGCTATCCTGAAGAAAAACAAATGAATAATAATTCTGTTTTGCTTGCACTTGGTAGTACCATACGTTTGGAGCCAAATGCCTTGCAACACAAGGCACCTCAAAGAAACCAAAAAATTGGATAGACTATGAAAGCCTGGTTCTGTTCATCTCCATGCTTCTTTCTTTCTTTCTTTTTGACTGCCAAATGGTCAGATATTGTTTTTTTACTTGTGTATATAAGCTGTTCTGAAAGTGGATGCATGGTGAGGCAAACTAGTAGGATTGGGATCATTATTAATTTATTCCATTGGTCACTTTTGGAGGGAATAATGAACAATGCAGCAGTCCTCCTGAAGTACTAACAATATTATGACCTTATGTTTTTTTTTTGTAACTTGAATGTTAATTTGAGCAATACAGGCTTCCCTGACCTCCATTGTTTCTTGTTTGATGTCACCAGATGCATTTACACTTGGACGCTTCTGGCAAAAACATTAAGTTATGCGTTTAGCTTGAATACATAACAATTTACGTAATTGTAGCAAAAGAGCAACAAAAAAAGAACCACTATGAAATAGTACTGTATAGCCAACAAATTATTTGAGTTCAAGTTGGATTGATTTTTCAGAAAAGTCTGGCTTGTAGCGTTAGAAAACATTTAATCTGCTCAAAATTTCTGTGCTGTTTATTCCAGGGTTACAATAGTTAAGGATAAATTCACCCGGCAGAGTAAAGGAGTGGCGTTTGTCCTCTTCTTGGATAGAGAAGCAGCTCACAATTGTGCAAGAGCAGTGAACAACAAACAGGTAAACAACACTGAGTGACTCCTTGCATAAACTACATATTTCTGTCAATGTTTCTTTAATACGTTAACTGCATAAAGGACATTTTTTTATCCTCCCAGTTATTTGGCAGAACAGTTAAAGCCAGTATCGCTGTAGACAATGGGCGAGCAGCAGAGTTTATAAGGCGACGGAACTACACGGACAAGACCAAATGTTATGAATGTGGGGTGAGTGAACACGCAACTTTGGGAAAGACGGACTTGTAGGAACGCACTTTGTAAATTCAACCTATTCATCACAGGAAACGGGACATCTGAGCTATGCATGTCCTAAAAACCTGCTTGGCGAGAGGGAACCACCAAAAAAGAAAGAAAAGAAGAAGAAGAAAAGGCCTCAACAACCTGAGCATATGTAGGAATTGTATTATAGTGAATAACTGTATTTTCATATAGCTTGGTATAGATATTATTTTTTATATATATCCATATATATACATTTCTTTTAGTGAAGAAGATGAAGAAAGTGAAGAGGAGGGAGAAGACCCTGCCCTGGATAGCTTAAGCCAAGCCATAGCTTTTCAGGTAATTCTCAGCATTGCCATATGTATAACATATTTATACTTAGCATGTGTATAACCAAAGTCTTTTGCTAGATTCGCTTCAGTTAAAATCTTGCCATAATGGAAGTACGGCAAAAAGAGAGAAAAATATGCAGAAAGCTTTAAGAAGTCCCATTTGAAGATTACCACAGCCTATGTGGCAAACATGTGGAAGAAGGTTCTCTGGTCAGATCAGACCAAATTTGAACTTTCTGGCCTACATACAAAGCAATTGGTGCAGAAAAATTAACACCCTCAAAGTACCGTTCATTCCTACAGGGAAACACGATGGATTCTTTTGTCCAGAAAGTTGGAGTTGATGGAATGATGGATGGTGCTAAGAACTGGTCAATCTCAGAAGGAAACTGTATTTAGAGACAGCAAAAACTTTAAATGCCAAAAATCACGTCACATTGCCCTACGAAAGTTTGGGACCTTCCCACAAAGTCACCAATCAAACATTTTAGCATATCAGCATTTATGTGGTGCAAGAATTACAAAACTATTGATGAAAAGACATTTCTACAACATAGTTTATGTCAACTAACAAACTGTGTTTCTGGGGCGTCTCTCCAGCAAGCTCACATGGAGGAAGAGGAGAAGAAAAAGAAAAGGCAAGCGGAAGAGGACAATGCCCATGCCTCGACATCCTCAGACTCTAAGAAACCAAGGATTAAAAAGAGCGCATACTTCAGTGACGAAGAGGAACTGAGTGACTAATACACAGACTTTTAAACCGCATACATATTTATCAAATTGTTTTCTGGTGAAGTCATGTTCTATGTTCTTCAAATATTTTGTTAATAAAACTATCTTTGCTTATGTGTGTCTGTACCGTACATATTTATTGCTGTCGGGGTCGGGTGCTAATTAAAAGTTGAATTCATTTGGGGAATGGAAGAAAGATATATTTCTTAACACTTTGGCTGAACCGACCATGAAGAAAAATGTTCAAAATGCTTTTCAGTTGGCAAATTAGCTCAGTTGTTTTAGAACTTGAAACAGGAACAAGGTTAAGAATTTAAGAAGAAAGAGACAAAAAGAAACAAATGCTGTTTTCAATTTTCAATTATTTAGTTCTGTTAATTGTGAGGATATCTAATGACAACATGATATTTAAGATTGGAATAGTACATCACACCAATAAAAAACTAATACAGAAATGTATGCTTATGAAAAGCAAAACCTTAAAGGTTGTTTTCAAAAGCCATTTTTAATCCAACAACTCATATTATAAATGATTGAATATGGATTATAGATGCAGAGTGACATAAAATAAAAAAATTACTTTCTCAGAAAATTTAAGTATTACATAAAAACAATGAAAAAGGATACAGACATGTTATGTCTCACTTCTGTAAGAATTACTCACTAATTCTGCAAACTCAGTGTTATAAAACATTTACTTATTGGAAAGTTTAGTGGAAGGCAAAATTCAGGTAGACAGACATGCATAACAAAACAGTAATAACTGTGTACTTGAAGGGACTATGAAGCACGAGGAGATTGTTGCGGCTGGAATTGGTGACTCCACTCCACCCACCGATGTATCAAGGATAAGTTGTAATGGTTCAATTTCTTGTTTTCAGCCTTGAACCAGAGACAATATCTGACGCATCTTATCTGAGCTAAAGAAAAAAGTGACTGAATTGTTTAGCTGTCCAGTGTTTCCAGATGAAAGAAAATTCTGCATTTTAAGTTGGAAATCAACCTAATCTCCTCCATGCTATGCTTCATTGCTGCAGTAAAACCAAGCATTGAAAGGTTAAAAAAGATATTTTACAATAGGCAGACATTTCACATTTTGGGTTTTCATTTTCTGTAAGTGCTGACTGTCAACACTGAAACATATCAATCTGTGCACAGTGATTTTGTAATACATATGAGCTTAACTTTTATAATGCAACTAATTAATTTCTCATCAATGTAGATGCACCTGCAATTCGTTTCCGGTACAATTTAACAAGGACGAATCACTAATAGGAGTTTCCACAGTGTCCTTGAATGCAGCATTATTCATCAAGAAGAGGAATGTCAGCCTCAGGAAATAACCGGACTCTGATTGGCCACTTCCAGTCACGTGGCGATTTCCCAAGCGGAGTTTCCACGACAGCTGGAAGCCGAGCGGGTAAAAGGCGCATCGCTTCTTTCCTGAAATAATCGGAAAATAACACGACTTCTGCTCGTCCCAGCTCCTCCAGATAAACCCTGGTCTGGCATGGGCGACAAGCGGAGCCCCACAAGGTAAGCAGCGCGTCCTAAATATTTTAACCAGGGGAGGGGAGCGGACTTAGAGGCGAGCCCACGGACCACGGAGGGGGGGGAGGAAAAATGGGCTTTTCTCTTTCGGTCTCTCCCTCTCCTTCTCGTGTATGAGCGCGTGCCATGTATCCTCGGTCGGGTGTTAAAAAAACCTCATCGGCAATTACAGTGTCAGATCACTGCGCGCGTGCAGATGATGGTTTCCTGAATCCTTTAGGCTTTTACCAGAGGTTTGCTTTCGCTATCCGAAGTCACTTTTATCCCCCTCTTTTTTGCTTATAAACTCATTCTATTTTTTTTTCTCTCCTTCATTTCCACATTTATTGTCTTTAAAGGCCGAAGCGTCAACCGAAGCCCTCCTCCGACGAGGGGTTTTGGGACTGCAGCGTGTGCACCTACAAGAACACGGCAGAGGCTTTTAAGTGCATGATGTGTGATGTGAGGAAGGGGACGTCAACAAGGTAAGGCGATGGGTATGGCATTAGGGTTTTATGTGTTTGGGTGGGCATTAGTGGGTCCCCTGGGAGGGAGGGATGGATGGCTGGGCTGCCCCTCACCCCTTTACATCAAAACGACACTTTGTCACGATCACCTCTCTTTTAGTGTCTATGCATGGATAATAAAATTCTTTATTAAGCATTAGTAACACATTCAAACCTTATTCCAAATACAAATATGGCTTAAAATAGTTCCACGTGCTTATTTTTTAAAGTTTTTTCATTGTTTGTGTAAATGGTGGGGTTGATTATTTGGCAGAGCCAGGTCTACAAAATTGGGATTTTTTTTATTTTATTTATTTATTTATTACGTTTTTATATCCTGATTTATTTTTATTCAACATTGCTTAACCCAATTACAGACTATTATTGCAAATTTAAAACAAATACAATTTTAATGCATAGTGATGTACAAAACGGTTTCTGGTAACCTTTTTATGATTAAATCTTGTAAAGCATACCCAAAACTGTGACTTCAAAAATCTTGTCAGTTTTGTCAAATAATAGCTCTAGGATTAAGATGGGATTTTCTCAGGGCTAATTTTAGCTGGATGAGGATGCTATGAGTTGGAAAAATAGCTAAAAACAGTGTCTCGATAATTCACTATTCTCATAGCTTAATCCATTGACCAGTTTGGATGTGCACTGGTGGTCATCTGTCTGAAAGAAGGCTTTCGTAATTATTGCTAGTAAAGTTAAGACAATTTTGGCTGCATGGTAACATTTCCAGTTGAAGAAAATGAGCAAGACATGGAACACATTTTCCTGATGTAACCTTGGTTTAAAATTACATTCGGAACGCTAATAATAGCATAATAGAATGGTCAACTCCAGATTCTATCCAAATGGATTGCTATACTTGTCTTACACTAGAAAAAATAAAATAATTATATAAATATAATTTAGTCTTAAAAAATTATGCATGTTTTTTCTCTTTGGTATGTTTTTTCTTAAGTCAAATTTAGCAACAGCCATATATGGATAAAATTTTCAATAATATGTTGTTAGCTTCATCAGAGAAAAATGTTTCTTCTGTTATACCTACAAATAATATAGATGTATGCTTCTTTTGTGTAAAATTGCCTATTTTACCTCAATGTTATCATACCATGACAGTGTTATTCTGCTCATCCATAGATGAGTATAATCAACCAAATCTCATCTGGTAAGTTAGGTAGACTTTTTGCCTGGAAAGTCAACTCCAGACTTTTCCTCTGTTTTCTCATTAAAAGGACTTCAAACCTTAGGAAAAGATATGAAACTACTTGCGCTTTTAATACCGCAACCGTTTCACTAAAACATTGATGTACCTTGCAACTCGCCCATGCCTACAGGGAACCGACTTCTTTCAAAACAATATACACACCCTCGATAGATGGGTAATTATACCCGCACGTCGATGGCATTAAGGTGCACAGTTCATGCAGATATATTCCCTCACACTAGAAATTGGAAGCGGGGAATTGGAGTTATTCCTGAGCGATTCTCTTTGAGAAGGAAAAACAATACAAAGGAATAAAGGAGAGGAAGTGCAGCAGTGCACTCCTGCCATGGGACATGGTGTGTGTGTGTCGTTCCATGATCTCCCTCTTGAGTGAATTACTAATTCTCCTCCTGCATTAGCACAACTTTCCCAGTGATTACACTATCTAAGACAATGGATCTTTGATGGTCTTTGTGATTATTTTCTTTTTCCCTGAGTGTGTAATGATTCCATTTATTTCTTTGTATGTGCGAGTGGGAGGCTTTGTTGTAAAAAGAGCAGCTGCCAGACAGACAGCCATAGCTCATTACTATGCAACAGCTTAATCAGCCTGCTGTCGGAGGGACACACACATGCACGCACTTGAGCCCAGATGCGCCCATCATGCAAATTTTCAACATGACTGCATGCATATTTGCAGGGTAACACACACACACACACACACACACACACACACACACAGACGCAAAAAAAAAAAGCTGGAGTTCAGTTGTTGGAAGTGGTTGAAGCAGCGGACATGCTGCTGTCGCCATGTAGAGGACACTTCATCGACTCATCAAAAGTAGCTTTCAGCGCTGCCAAGAAGTCGTCTAGATCCTTATAAAAACAAACGTGACATTATTTGCCTTCCCCATCTTTTTTGTTTTGATTCTTAAGGATGTTGGCAAGGACACAGCTGAGAATTCCCCTCCAAACCACAAATTCCAATAACATCTCCTATGTTTGGAGCAGACATGCATCTTTAATCTCTCCTCTTTGCACATCCTCAGGTCTTTCACACTGTTGCCTTCAAAGTTTATTTGGAGTTAGTGCCAGTATTTGGGTTTGGGAACTGAAAGAAGGTTGTGTTTCTATGTAGCGACCATTTCTGTGTCGGTTCATGTGTTTTGGATACTAGTACAGATTTTTCTTGGTACAGTATTTGAGATTCTAAAAATCCTGATACTTCAAAGTCTATGAATCATGCACTTTAACAAGGGTCTTATGTCCTGCAGAAGTGACCCAGGCCTATAGCATCAAAGATGTTCTTGTTCTTCCTGGGCTTCACACTGAACCCACATGGAGTATTTGTTGAATTTTAAGCTCAGTCCTGGTCTCAACTAAAACCAATTTTAACAGAAATCAGTTTCTGTTGAAATCTCAGTTGGTTTAAGCAAACTCCATGTTAACATTTGTGAATGGAGGACGGAAGCAACCTTTCCTGTTTAGTGGACTGAAATGTCATTTATAGCCAAGAGAAACAGAAAGATTCCCAATTAGAAGTTGTTCTGGAGTGAAAGCTTCTTCAAACGAGACGGAGGCTCGTATGTCTTTTACTGAACCTTTCTGTTCAGTTTTTATTGAAGAGAAAAAAACGGCGACAGCTGTTCGTAACCTAGCAACCAAAAATCAACAAAAGCAAGGTATTGACGAAACAGAACCAGATCCTGTTAAGCATTCTTCAAAATAAAAGACTTCCTCTATTCAAATAAATCATGTCTCCTTAAATATATTCCACTTCACCTTTGTAATTATATACAATCAAGCTCAATACAATTAATAATAATCATCATGTAAATTATGCTTAACATATAATTGTAAATCAGTCACTTATCATGCAAAATATACTGAACATCATAAGTATAAAAAAGTCATAACAGAAGTTTCAAGAAACTCTGTTTTTAATTCATACTTTGGCTAAGTATGTATGTAGATATATATTTGGAGACATTTACTTTAAATAGGTTGCTGCTAAGGATCTCTTTGAAGGTCATTGTTTCACAACCAAAGTATTGCAGAAATACTGTGACACTAATGTGATTGTGCCAAAAAGGCTGCACAGAGATTAGTGACCAAACGCTTCAAAAGAGTTGATTTCTCTTTGAGCTCACTGAAGGTAAGCAGATTTTTATGCTTGGTACTAAATAAGAATGACTGAGCCGTAGCTGCAAAGCAATGAATTCCTGTCTGACAGGGGCATAGTGTGTGCACATGTCAGAAGAAGCATCTCACAACAGCAGCTAATGGGACTTTAAATCGGCCACTCACACAGTAACAGCACTGGGTTGACACGCGAAATATCACGAAAAAGATATGAAAGCATTTGCTTGTAGACTTTAGTCCAGACATCAGGATAAATGTTTTATGCAAGCAAAGCTCAGCACATCTTGTAGAGTTTAGCACATCTTGCAGCCTGGATTCCAGTGGCGTGGGAAGATGATCTGCTGCAGGGGTCCAGAGCCGTCTGCTGACTGAAAGCAGCGAGACGAGCCTGTGATTCTGACTGCATCCAAGCAAGCGCACATCAGCAGAACTGGACTCTTATCGGAGGTAATGGTGTCTGCAGATGACACTTTGACGAAGTGGGAACTGGCTGATGTTTCACTAATGCCGTCAGCAGCTCAGATGTCAGATTTAACGAAGCACAACCTGCAGCAGGCAGAACGTTTTGGTATGTAGTGACTTCGCAAGAGCATTTTTACCCCTTGTGTAGCCTACTTTGTGTTGGTCTCAATAAAATACGACAACTTGTGTCTGTAACGTGACAAAATGGGAAAATCTGAGGGGTTATGAATACTTTTGCAAGGCACTGTAATCCCCATTCTAAATTTGAAGTGGTAGAGAAATGACTTTCTTGCTGCAAACCGAACGCAGTCATTTGTGCAAATTAATACAGCAAAATGCGTTGCTCCTCTACTGCTAGCTTCTCATTTACAGTATTTAATCAAAGGAGCCGTAGAGGCGGCAGCGGACGAGGCACTCATTAAATTACCAGTTTGCTGAGAAAGAGCGGGAGAGATTTTTATCTTCCTGGAAGTGCTTGGGCTCAGTCCCAGTTTTTTGAAAACAGACGCTGAATATGGAGGTCATGGTGCGGTAGTATTGTTGTGTTGTTCGATAAATGAGGGACAAAGAAACAAGTACACTGTTACACAGACTCTTGAGCAAGTCACAAGGCCTACATGAAACCATGTAGGCCAGGATGACTCATTCCAAAGGTCTGAGTATTAATGGAAAGCTGCAAAGCAACTTAAAGTCAGGCCTCTGGTCTTATGTTTGGAATCAAAGCCAACTATGGAATAAATGCTTCCGACAGGGAGTGTTAAGGCCTAAAAACTCTTAACAAAACATTACGTGGCGTAATAATCTTCTCCATTGTCAACTTCACCTGTAACATTTCAGTGAGCTGACGAGTCAGAGCCACCAGCGACGCGCTGAGCGTTTCAGATCTTGTTTTGCAACATTACAGACTCATTCTGCAGGTCAGGACAGTGAGCCTGCTCGTGTTCCCGTTAGTCCTCTCCTGTTTGTGCTCATCCCTCTCTCTTTGCGTTTGCCGTTTGCTCTTTACTCTTTTTTTTTTTCTTCTCCTCCTCTCCCCCATAGTCGAACTGAACCTCGGGCGCCTTTCTGACAGAATGACTGATGTGCAGGTTTTTCGAGAGCTCCACCTAAACAAGCACAAGCTATTCTAGCTGACTGGGAGCCTGTCAGTATTTGG